TCTCTCTCTCTCTCTCTCTCTCTCTCTTTGTCTCCGCCTTCCTCTCTTTCATTTCTTTCACTCGATATCTCCCCTCATCTACCTCTTTTCCTTACTCGTTCAATATTTCATTAATCTCTAAAAAGAAATTTACCTTTGGAATTCCAGTCATTGTTGCAGGAAGCGAACGGCACATCCCCTGAGAAGGAGGCGAACAGGTAGCGTAGCGACCAGCCCAGGATCATGTTGTAGTAGATACCAGTCAGGGCGGACACAATCACCATACCCACTCCGATACCTGTCAGGAGAGCAGGTGGTTTTGTGTGTTTTTTGTTTTGTTTTTGATTTTGTCATAGTTGAAATGAATGTTCAACTAGACACTTTAAAGGTGTAACTATTCTGAAGTCTTTTTCTGTATCTTTCTTTTTAGCTCTCTTTCTTCCTATCATTATCTCTCAATATTTTTCTCTTTCTCGCTATCTCTGTCAGTCTGTCCGTCTGTCTGTCTGTCTGGCTCTCTGTCTCTCTCTGTCTCTGTCTGTCTGTGTGTCTGTGTGTGTGTCTGTGTGTCTGTCTGTGTGTCTGTCTGTCTGTCTGTCTGTCTGTCTGTCTGTCTGTCTGTCTGTCTGTCTGTCTGCCTGTCTGTCTGTTTGTCTGTCTGTCTGTCTCTCACTTTCACTGTCTCAATAGTAGTGTCCTCAACTAATATCATAATTCTCTGCTGTGCTACACCAATTTATGTGGAATGTATGAGGCAAAGGCCTTCAAAATCAATAAATAATCATCTAAATCAGTCTTTCTCTATCTCCATCTCTCACGCACACATGCATACACAAACATCCCTCCACACAAACATACACACACTCACACACACACACTATCTCTCTCTCTCTCTCTCTCTCTCTCTCTCTCTCTCCCTCTCTCTCTCACTCTCTCTCTCTTTCTCTCTCACACACACACAAACACACTCTTACTCACTCTCTTTCCCTCATTCTTTTCTGTCTCCAAACCCCTTACCTGTCTTTCTCATGTAAAGCCCCAGAAGTGCAATCAACTTTTTTCGCTTAAAATGATAGTTTTCTTTTTCCTACCTTGCTCTCTACACTTTTCCTCATTCATCTCTTTCTCAAAGAAAGAAAAAAAAAGAAGTAGTAGTTCTAACCAGCATTTCTGTCTGCTGCCCCCCCCCTTTTCTATCGGTCACTGTCACTGTCTGTCTGTCTGTCTGTCTGTCTGTCTGTCTGTCTGTCTGTCTGTCTGTCTG